TTGGTTAAAGTGGACGGTATCGTGGATTCTGAGAAGAGAAGGGAAGGCGGGACTTACCGTAATATTAGAAATCATAAAGTCACTTATTTTATATCAACATTTAAGGCCAGGAGGTCAATTTAATACAATTCTTAAAACGTGTAATTCATTTAGAGTTCCAGACTATCACTTTAAAGAGTAAATCTATATTCTCTAACTGCGAGGGGAAAGCGCACTAAAGCATGCTGGGATTGTAGTCTCTGGAGGTGCTTATAGCCTACTTTGTAAAGGTGCGATAGTCTCGTCGTAGTGAGGTCTGAATGGATGGCCACCGTCATTAGAGTTATTAATTACCCCAGCGCAGTTCCCATGGCGTCATGTCAAAACACCAGCCGAGAGAAAGCCCATAATTCATTGCACCTTTAACACCTCTATCAATTAAAACCACAGAGAAAATAATTTGCCTCCCTCAGTGTCACAAGACAACACAACAAATACGCCCACCGCACAACCCAGCGCTCTGCCGTCATCCAACACTCTGCCCTGTGTGTGTGTGTGTGTGTGTGTGTGTGTGGGTGTGTGTGTGTGTGTGTGTGTGTGTGTGTGTCTGTCTGTGTGTGTGTGTCTGTGTGTGTGTGTGTGTGTGTGTGTGTGTGTGTTTGTGTGTATGTCTGTGTGTGTGTGTCTGTCTGTGTGTGTGTCTGTGTGTGTGTGTGTGTGTGTGTGTGTGTGTGTGTGTGTGTCTGTGTGTGTGTGTGTGTGTGTGTGTGTACGTGTGTTCGTATGTGTGGCTGTATGTGTGTGTCGTCTGTGTGTGTGTCTGTGTGTGTGTGTGTGTGTGTGGGGGTGTGTGTACGTGTGTTCGTGTGTGTGGCTGTATGTGTGTGTCGTCTGTGTGTGTGTGTGTGTGTCTGTGTGTCTGTGTGTGTGTGTGTGTGTACGTGTGTTCGTGTGTGTGGCTGTATGTGTGTGTCGTCTGTGTGTGTGTGTGTGTGTGTCTGTGTGTGTGTGTGTGTGTGTCTGTGTGTGTGTGTGTCTGTGTGTGTGTGTGTGTGTCGTGAACACAAAAACTGAGATAATACACAATAATACATTTCAAGCTTACCCCAAAAGTGTCTTCTTCTGGTCGACCCGTTTCGCTTCCTGAAAAGACAAAGTACAAACGTAAACTGTTGGAAAACGCATCGATCATTGTATCCTCATCCATTGCTTTGGACTTTGAGTAATACCGGACAGGGCTGGACTGGGACAAAAAAACGGCCCGGGCATTTTTTCCTTTTTAGCGGCCCAGGCAACTCAAAAGGTTCAATTAGCCATATTTGACAAAAAAACAAAAAAAAACAGCGTTGTATAAGGCTTATATGAAGGTAACAGGGGCTTAAGCTGTATTAGCTACATTAGCTACATTAGCTACCTTAGCTACATTAGCTACCTTAGCTACATTAGCTACCTTAGCTACATTAGCTAAATTAGCTATATTAGCTATATTAGCTATATTAGCCTAATATCTAAATGACAAAGTAAAGGCTACAAACACATAAAAACCATTCATGATTATCAAATGTGTGTTTTCATTGCAGCGTGTCCTGGAGAGAATGACGCACCACGTGACAACTCTGCTTTAACTTTAACTTCCATTTTTTTGCCTTCATGCAATTGTACAAATACAGTAAATACATCTGCTTTTTGGCTCAGTTCACCTGCATCACTGTCTGTTCATATCCATCACAGGCTGAAGTTTGCTGGAGCTGAATGTCCTTAATGGCCTTTTCTTTCACCGTCTTTGAGAAGGTTTTTGAAGTCTGAAAATAGGTGCTCTGACTTTATGATGAATGACTCTTTCAGTGAACAGTGTTTAAAGCTTCATTGTTCCTCCTGTTGCAACAAAACTTTTCATTACATTGCAAACATAAAGCAGTCCTTCCTCATTGACTGAAAGCAAATGTTCATTCTCATTCTTAGTCCAGTCTTATCGACTCTCTCTCTTTATCTTTGGGATCCATGCACACACAGTCTATGATGCGCACACGCCGGTTAGTTTACAGCAGCGGCCGCCTGGCACGGGCCGCGTCACAGGATATGACGCACTACGTTGACAGAAATGCTAAAATTGAACATTACTTATACAAGTTTTTGCACCATTGAAAAATGTTAAGAATGTTTTTCCTCCTTCAGAAACCACATTAAAACTAGAAATAAAATATAGCCCTCCCACTCCATTTTCAGACATGTTTGAAAAGGCTCCAGGAGCCACTTTAGGGGCACTAAAGGTTGCCGACCCCTGGTTTATACAGTATGTGGAAGCAAATACTGTAGAGGATCAGGATGTCTGCAGTTTCAACAATAACATACAGTACAATAGTCTACATTAAACAGAGTAATGAACATGTCTCAGAGTGAGGGAGGTGGACACAGACAATACCATTGTTTGTTACAGGGATGAGAATTGGTAAATATTTCTGAAATGCATATTGTCAGCCATTTGCTGGCTCTAAATCTGTTTAATCTGTTCACAACATTTTTCTTTTGGGCTCAAACATGAACTTTTAATGCAATGGAAAATGTAGGTACCCGAGCTTTAATTTAGTCGCACTTCGAGAGGAGAGGGGAGACGCGGACTGTTTCCTGCAGCGGTGTATTTATTGGGTGCACATTGTGCGCGTTTATGGGGTTGGGTCACGTTGCGGCTACGCTCACCGTGTTGTGTTGTGAGCGTCCAGCTCAGAGCCGCTGGATGCGGGAACACTGCGGCCGCTGAGGTGGTGGAATCCCGTTCCAGTACATACAGCAGGTGCCCCGCGGACACGCGCGCTCCCCTCGACATTTCTCAACGGATTTACACTTTTCACAAACCTTTTTTTTTGTATGAAGCAGACAGACCGGCCCAAATATGGGCATCGGCCCTTCGGGCATTGCCCGGTACGCCCGATGGCCAGTCCAGCCCTGATACCGGATGCATTTGAGGCTATTTACTCGAAGCCCCGGCGATCCAGGATGGCGCCATATTCAAATGAATGGTTGTGCTCAGTGGCGCTTTGTGCCGGCACGGTCGCTGACATATTAGCGGAACTCACAAAGATCTATGGGAAACTCGCCTGTATTTGGGCATCGTCTGGTCCTCCCGGTTCTGCGCAGTGGATTATCTCCCATAATGCACTGCGCCAAATATGTGTGTGGCTCGGCCAATCAGAGCAGTTCATCAGAGCGGGAGTTAAAGCAAGAGCCAGACGAGCAGAGTTTGTGGCAGTAAAGTGTGGATTTAAAGAAAAAAAGTTCAGGACGACACTAAAATCCCCACTAAATCCGACCTTTATGAAAGCTGTCTCGGTTCTCTGTCAGCTGAGGTCGAGCTGTTTTAATTTACATTGAGTTCTATGGGGAACATTTCTGGGTAGCCAGCGTGAATTTAGTCTGGTTCAGTCTGGTTCAGTCTGCAGTACCACTCGAATCCCCCGAGCACATGAGTTATTCAGCTCCAAGCTGTAACACCCTATCCAGTTATTATCATAGATCCATGATTTACTCTCATTCATACAACAGACTGCTTTGGGTTAGTCAGGGTAAAATGTCGTTCTATAGACCTGAATGAGTTTAGAATTAAAGTTAAAAAATGGCTCAAACGGAACCAAACTTCAGTCAATTCCAGACTATTGTGTATGGTGTTTTTTTTAATTATTATTACACAAAAGTAAATGCAGTTGTTGACAATAAGTACAGTTTTATATACCATCCCCCTCCCGCTACCACCCTCCACAATTCGTCTCCAGGTTGACAGTGTATATCAAAAATTATGTTTAGCTAAGTATAGAGGGTTAGTGAGTAGATAGGTCCCTAAAGATAGAAATAATAAATAGATTTTGATTTTATTTATACACATATACACAGATATACAGTACATATATCAGTCCTTACTCATACACACACACTTTCAGACATATACACATACATACACACCACTTATACACACACGTACATATACCTTCAGAATACACCTTCATACATATTAGCCCCATACTGTGTTATATGGTTTAGCAAAGCAGATTTTGTTTGTCCTTAACTCTTTAGTCAATAAAATGTGACCATATTTTAAGGAAGAGCTGTCGGTGTTGCCAAAGGATGACTTTTTCATAGTTTTCTGCTTTTATCATCCATTCTGTGTGATGTATTTTAGGGACCTGGTCTGCAAATTAGCCGTTAGCTACACGGCCTATGAACACAGCATTGGTTACTCGCTTGTTGTTCTGTCCCCTTCAAATAAACATTAATAATAATAACATAGGCTCTAGGGCTGAACGATATATTTTAAAAGAACCTCTCTGGCGTTTCATTTTTAAGCAGCAGTCACTCATTCAGATCTGTATCAACAAAACTTCATAGTCATGCTCAAGTTCTACACATTGTAATTGTAAAGTTGGTTTGTGTTTTGGAAAAAGGAAGCTGCATGAGCGTATAGGCCCCAAACACAAAGCAAGTCAAACAAAAGTATACGCAGTGCCTTGCGAAAGTATTCGGCCCCCTTGAACCTTTCAACATTCGCCACATTTCAGGCTTTAAACATAAAGATATACAAATTTATTTTTTTCTCAAGAATCAACAACAAGTGTGACACAATCGTGAAGTGGAACGAAATGTATTGGATAATTTAAACTTTTTTAACAAATAAAAAACTGAAAAGTGGGGCGTGCAATATTATTCGGCCCCTTGCGCTAATACTTTGTAGCGCCACCTTTTGCTGCAATTACAGCTGCAAGTCGCTTGGGGTATGTCTCTATCAGTTTTGCACATTGAGAGACTGGAATTCTTTCCCATTCTTCCTTGCAAAACAGCTCGAGCTCAGTGAGGTTGGATGGAGAGCGTTTGTGAACAGCAGTCTTCAGCTCTTTCCACAGATTCTCGATTGGATTCAGGTCTGGACTTTGACTTGGCCATTCTAACACCTGGATACGTCTATTTGTGAACCATTCCATTGTAGATTTGGCTTTATGTTTTGGATCATTGTTGTGTTGGAAGATAAATCTCGGTCCCAGTCTCAGGTCTTTTGCAGACTCCAACAGGTTTTCTTCCAGAATGGTCCTGTATTTGGCTCCATCCATCTTCCCATCAATTATAGCCATCTTCCCTGTCCCTGCTGAAGAAAAGCAGGCCCAAAGCATGATGCTGCCACCACCATGTTTGACAGTGGGGATGGTGTGTTCAGGGTGATGAGCTGTGTTGCTTTGGTTTCATCTGACCAGAGCACCTTATTCCACATGTTTGGTGTGTCTCCCAGGTGGCTTGTGGCAAACTTTAAACAAGACTTTTTATGGATATCTTTGAGAAATGGCTTTCTTCTTGCCACTCTTCCATAAAGGCCAGATTTGTGCAGTGCACGACTGATTGTTGTCCTATGGACAGACTCTCCCACCTCAGCTGTAGTTATCTGCAGTTCATCCAGAGTGATCATGGGCCTCTTGGCTGCATCTCTGATCAGTCTTCTCCTTGTTTGAGATGAAAGTTTGGAGGGACGGCCGGGTCTTGGTAGATTTGCAGTGGTCTGATACTCCTGCCATTTCAATATAATTGCTTGCACAGTGCTCCTTGAGATGTTTAAAGCTTGGGAAATCTTTTTGTATCCAAATCCGGCTTTAAACTTCTCCACAACAGTATCTCGGACCTGCCTGGTGTGTTCCTTTGTCTTCATGGTTCTCTCTGCGCTTTAAACAGAACCCTGAGACTATCAAAGAGCAGGTGCATTTATACGGAGACTTGATTACACACAGGCGCATTCTATTTATCATCATCAGTCATTTAGGACAACATTGGATCATTCAAAGATCCTCACTGAACTTCTGGACTGAGTTTGCTGCACTGAAAGTAAAGGGGCCCAATAATATTGCACGCCCCACTTTTCAGTTTTTTATTTGTTAAAAAAGTTTAAATTATCCAATACATTTAGTTCCACTTCACGATTGTGTCCCACTTGTTGTTGATTCATGACAAAAAATTACATTTTTATATCTTTATGTTTAAAGCCTGAAATGTGGCGAAATGTTGAAAGGTTCAAGGGGGCCGAATACTTTCGCAAGGCACTGTATATTCTCTCTCTTTTTACCTTGATGTCTATATACAGTAGATCTATTGAATACGGGCCTATATATACACAGCGGAGAGCCACACTAGCTCCTGTGGCAGAGACGAGAGAGAGAGTCCTGAGAGAATGTTATCACGGCAGCAGCACCCTCAGACTTAAGCCGACAGTGACTGGAGCAGTAAAGGAGAAAAGGACAGACACAGAGCCGTGAAACCAAATGAACTGGTGTCAGGGAGACTCCGGCACAGGGCCCCTAGCCACGGCCCCTAGCCACGGCCCCTAGCCAGGACATCACGCAGTAATTGAGAGCAAATTAATGGGCACATGGTAGAGCGGCTGCTAATGGCTCAGAGACACAGCGCTACAGTCCACCAAGCGTGCCCTAACGACCGCCGCTGCCCCTCCTCGCTCCTGCCCTCCTCGCTCCTGCCCCTCCTCGCTCCTGCCCCTCCTCGCTCCTGCCCCTCCTCGCTCCTGCCCTCCTCGCTCCTGCCCCTCCTCGCTCCTGCCCCTCCTCGCTCCTGCCCTCCTCGCTCCTGCCCCTCCTCGCTCCTGCCCTCCTCGCTCCTGCCCTCCTCGCTCCTGCCCCTCCTCGCTCCTGCCCCTCCTCGCTCCTGCCCCTCCTCGCTCCTGCCCCTCCTCGCTCCTGCCCCTCCTCGCTCCTGCCCCTCCTCGCTCCTGCCCCTCCTCGCTCCTGCCCCTCCTCGCTCCTGCCCTCCTCGCTCCTGCCCTCCTCGCTCCTGCCCCTCCTCGCTCCTGCCCCTCCTCGCTCCTGCCCCTCCTCGCTCCTGCCCCCTCCTCGCTCCTGCCCCTCCTCGCTCCTGCCCCTCCTCGCTCCTGCCCTCCTCGCTCCTGCCCCTCCTCGCTCCTGCCCCTCCTCGCTCCTGCCCCTCCTCGCTCCTGCCCCTCCTCGCTCCTGCCCCTCCTCGCTCCTGCCCCTCCTCGCTCCTGCCCCCTCCTCGCTCCTGCCCTCCTCGCTCCTGCCCCTCCTCGCTCCTGCCCCTCCTCGCTCCTGCCCTCCTCGCTCCTGCCCTCCTCGCTCCTGCCCCTCCTCGCTCCTGCCCTCCTCGCTCCTGCCCTCCTCGCTCCTGCCCTCCTCGCTCCTGCCCCTCCTCGCTCCTGCCCTCCTCGCTCCTGCCCCTCCTCGCTCCTGCCCCTCCTCGCTCCTGCCCCTCCTCGCTCCTGCCCCTCCTCGCTCCTGCCCCTCCTCGCTCCTGCCCTCCTCGCTCCTGCCCTCCTCGCTCCTGCCCTCCTCGCTCCTGCCCTCCTCGCTCCTGCCCTCCCGCTCTGCCCTCCTCTCTCCCCTCGCTCCTGCCCCTCCTCGCTCCTGCCCTCCTCGCTCCTGCCCCTCCTCGCTCCTGCCCCTCCTCGCTCCTGCCCCTCCTCGCTCCTGCCCCTCCTCGCTCCTGCCCCTCCTCGCTCCTGCCCCTCCTCGCTCCTGCCCTCCTCGCTCCTGCCCCTCCTCGCTCCTGCCCCTCCTCGCTCCTGCCCCTCCTCGCTCCTGCCCCTCCTCGCTCCTGCCCCTCCTCGCTCCTGCCCCTCCTCGCTCCTGCCCCTCCTCGCTCCTGCCCCTCCTCCAGCCTCACTGCTTTGTATCGTAACAGTCGGTGAAAGACGGCCAGGACAGAAGACTCCACAGTGTGCTGCTAAACTACCTTCAACAATATTACTGCAATTCTAAATTCAGACGTTTTTTGGTATGATTTTATAATTGAAGAAGAAGCAAGTGGTCGTCATGGACAATTAGATCTGTTGTCATTTTTAGTTCCTGTTTTATTTTGTAATTCTGTTCTTCTGTGTCTTTTGGAACTTTACTTCCTGTTCTGATGATGTCTGCCGCGCCCTGACCTGACCTGTACCTGTGTCTCCCATTTAAAGTCCCTGTGCTTCTTTTCTTTGTCTTCAGTTCCTGTGTTTTTACATTCAGTTAAGTTTTGTTTTTTGGATTCTTGTTTATTCATCCATTTTCTTCCCCTTAATCCATTTCTGGGTCAGGGGGGTGGCAGTCAGAGCTGTACCCAGTACACAGAGCACCAGCCCCTCACTGATCCTACTGCAGGTGGTGAGTCCACAGGAGCTGAGATCTTTCAGTGGGGGCTTCAGGCAAAGTGGGGTTAAGTGTCTTGCCCAAGGACACAACGACAGCAGACATCAGTGGGAGTTGTGAAGTAGGTCTTGTGGTAGGCTCGAACCCACAACCTTCAGGCTCTAAGGCCAATGCTCTACCAACTGAGCCACTGTCGCCCCCATTTTTAACGATTAAATTCTAATATTATATATCCTTCCTCCTTTCCAGCACGGAACAGGATCCTCACTATCATATTTTTCGCACCATTAGACGCAGCTGACTATAAAGCGCACTATCAAATTATGCATTTATTTTCATTAATAAGGCGCACTGGCTTATAAGGCACATTAATTCATGAAGATTTACCTTAAACAAAGGCACAATGAAGTACGAATGTCATTTTTACCTACATTTTTAAGTGAAACAAAACCACCAGATCTCTATAACTCAACATGTTTCAGTAGTAACATTTAAACAAATAATTATGAAATACAAAACCTTAGCATAATTTACCAAATTCAACTGCGTCACCGATAATTTATCTCACAATCTGTTCCGTAGCATGTCTCTTCATAGGGGCCATTTTGGATCCATTTGGCTAAAAGTAATATTAGGCAAATGTAACAGAAATACTCCACGAGGCGGCCACTCCCACTCTCCCTGACTCAGGTTGCCAGATATGCAGACGAATCCAGCTGGGACCATAACAGCTGAATAGACAAGAGTTTTGTCAACAACAAATCTATAACCAACACCTTTTTCACAAAAATAGAAATCCTGGTTTTATTCCTTGTTTTGTCGTTAATGATTTGAGAATCATAACGAGAGCTTTTTTAGTTCTGCGCCACATGGTACTTTACCAGTGAGATTAGCTCCACGCGGTGAGTTCTGGCGCCCGGATCACAGACTTTCTGATTGGTGAAACGGTGGAGGGCGGGACATCAAAATGAAAACAATAACAAGATTTAGAGGCTGGAAAAGTAATTTAGAAATTCAAATATCTCTGAACGACTGTTATCAGTTAAAGAAGTATTGGAAAAGAACAGTTTATTATTATGACAGATTAGGGCCCTTTAATGATGACAGATTAGGGCCCTTTAATGATGACAGATTAGGGCCCTTTAATGATGACAGAGCAGGGCCCTTTAATGATGACAGATTAGAGCCCTTTAATGATGACAGATTAGAGCCCTTTAATGAGGACAGATTAGAGCCCTTTAATGATGACAGATTAGGGCCCTTTAATGATGACAGATTAGGGCCCTTTAATGATGACAGAGCAGGGCCCTTTAATGATGACAGATTAGAGCCCTTTAATGATGACTGATTAGAGCCCTTAAATGAGGACAGATTAGGGCCCTTTAATGATGACAGATTAGGGCCCTTTAATGATGACAGATTAGGGCCCTTTACTGATGACAGATCAGGGCCCTTTAATGATGACAGATTAGGGCCCTTTAATGATGACAGATTAGGGCCCTTTACTGATGACAGATCAGGGCCCTTTAATGATGACAGATTAGGGCCCTTTAATGATGACAGATTAGGGCCCTTTACTGATGACAGATCAGGGCCCTTTAATGATGACTGATTAGGGCCCTTTAATGAAGACAGATTAGGGCCCTTTAATGATGACTGATTAGGGCCCTTTAATGATGACTGATTAGGGCCCTTTAATGAAGACAGATTAGGGCCCTTTAATGATGACTTGACACAGAGGTGGGTTGGCATTTCTTCTTGCCCACATATGAAATGTCAAAAGGTTAAACCCGCCCCAGTCATTTCAAACTGTTGTTGTGTCCTTGAGCAAATTCCCTCGCCCACTTGGTCCGGCGAGAATGACGGTAGAGCGCGGTGACATTAATTGCACGGTTGATAAGAGATGATTACATTTGGTCCGTTCCTTTTCATCAAATATTGCCTGAGGACAGTGACAGAGCAGCCATTCATGCTCCTGCCCCTCCGGCCCCGGCTGCAGCTTCATACTCCAGCATTGATGGGAAAGAATGGACTTGTGTGTAGACGGAGGGAGCCTGTGATGGAGGTGAGGGGTCAGATCGTCCCTCTTTGTTTGAGCGATTAGCAGCGAAGCACCGGAGCCACACCACAGCTGCCGATTTATGACACGGAGCCATGGAGCCAGGAGCGTTTGACTGCAGCACATGGATATTCAGATCACAACGCAGCGGGCGGGAGGGGGGCTCATCATGGAACGCCGACTGTACGAAACAAAACTAAAAAGTTCCCAAAAGATTTCCAGAGAAGTTGAGATTTGAGTGAGGCTTTGGAACGTTCATAGCCTGGTCTTGTCCATCCGTCGGTTGAATTACATCAGACCAATCAGAGAGCGCGGGAGGCGGGTGTTGGAGTTAGATGTTGGTGGGTATATATGTAATAATATGAATTGTGCAGGTTTGAAATGAAAAAAATATACAGTATATTAAAATTAAATTCACAGAAGTTACCCTCTTAATCTTATTCTTTGCCCCCCACCCCTTAAGTCCTGCTCACACAGAGATTGGTTTTGCTCATAGTCTTAATGCAAACCAACACATGTGGTTCTGTGCATCACACTAAACACACAAAGACATACATATAAAGCTGCATGAGGTTAAATTTGGAAATACTATCACTCCATAACTCCCACCGTCCTTGCAACAGAGAAGAGTCCTCTGTCAATACTCTGACACTGGGCATTAACCTCGGGGAATCGAACCTGGAGAGAGAATGTCTGCTGTCCTCTCTCTCGGAACTATGTGTGAACCTGAAGGAACAATAGCCTGAGCTGTGAAAGAACCAGGACGCCACATTTCAACAACAGCTAAACTGTCGTGACCCTCTATAAGATCCAGATCTGTGTCTCTGTCATGGTGTGAGTTTTATTTTGTACTTCTCTGTGGTTTTCATGTTTAGTTTTACTTCCTGTCTTGCTCCCCTGTCTTGATCGTCTGCCCTTGTGTCTGTAGCTCTGAGTCAATAGTCACGTTTCCACCGCAGGAACTTCCCCCACGGGGCCATTTGCAGGAACTTTTACGGGGCCCGACAGAGTCCTTCCTAAATACTAGGTACCCCGTTGGGCCATGAACCGCTCCTAGTGGGGCTTGAGGTTAACCCAGCGCTCTGATGCCAGCAGAAAGCACCAAAACAACCGGAATTTTTAAAACCAGCAGCATTAGCCTAGTAGCATTAGCCTAGCATAAATTAGCCTAGCAACCTTTGCCAAGCACCACCGGAAACAGCAAACAGCAACAGTGAGATGTACAATAAATGGACGGAGATAGAAAGATATTAAGACATATCAACGAACCTCTGAGCACTGGGGATTCATCACACTCAGAAACAAGTCGTGAAAAGTAAAACAAAAACTGAAGCAGGACTATGAAAAACTAAAAGACCACAACAACTGCACAGAGAGGGGTCCTACTCTGCAGTGGACGGTTCCTGTAGCTGCCCCACCTCCCTCCATTAAACCAGGAACTCTTGCGATGAAAACGTAAAGCCTAGCGTACATCGACAGAGTAACTGGAGATAGCTAGTTTCAAGGCGGCTTTTGGCGACTGAGAGTAGATGATGGAGAAGATCAGTTGAAATCGGTCGATGTGAGCGCTCTTACAACTGGAGATAAACAGTTGATCTCCAGATTCAGTCAGTTGCCCGTGTTCTAGTTTTCGGCAACTAGTTGTCCTCAGATCCGGAGTTATGACCTGATGTGTGTGCTCCAACAACATGTGTGTATTGCGCCCTCTACAGTTTATGCCAGAAAACACACTGTGAGTTTGAGTTGACTATGAGTTTGTATTTATCTTGGGCTTCTGTTAAATTTTTTGTTATTAAAACATCTTTCCTGCATTTTGAGTCCTCCTTCCTTCCCCCACAACACAATCTCTACTCCAACTGCACAAACTCTGATAAAAAAGTAGGCCAGCTGTGAAACATCCAAAGCCACGCAGAATTACTCATTTGTTTGTCTGCCGTTTTGATAAAAATCGGACGAGACTGGAGAGTGTTTGAGCCACGTACAGGAGTGATTATCTGTTCAGAAGTGCACATCTGTCATCCGTCATATCTCACCTCCTTTCTCCACGCCTGTGTCGGGCTCGGTCAGGAAATGCCCGTATACGGTCTTGGTGACTGTGCCCAGGGCGTTACTGGCCTCCAGAGTGTAGTTGCCGTTGTTGATGTGTGTGGGGTTCTGAAAGGTCAGGCAGCCCTCCACATAATCTTGGTAGAAGTCCATCTCTGTGCGGATGTATTTGTTCTGCATGATCTCCTTCTTCTTGTAGAACCAGCGCAGTTTGGGCTGTGGGTATCCCCTCACGGTGAACTCGATACAGGTGTCGTGCCGCTGCTCCGGCTCGGCCAATCTGAGGATGACTGGAGGAACTGCAAGAAGGAAAGAGAGAAAGGTTTGCATTAGGCAGATGTATGAATGAATGAATGAATATTTATATATAACTAGAAACTTGCAATGGCTGAAGCCATTGCGATTGACTGCGGAACAGATCTAATGTGGAAATCTGCTAAAAAAAATCCTTGAAATCCTTTAAAAAGCCTTGAAACTGTTAAAATACTTGATAGATATTTGAAACTCCTGAAGTCCTTGAAATTGTTGAAACCTTTAAACTCCTGAAATCCTTGAAACTGTTGAAACATTGAAACTCCTGAAATCCTTGAAACTTTTTTAAACCTGGAAACTGTTGAAAGTGTGGAAACTCCTGAAATCCTTGAACCTCCTGATATCCTTGAAACTGGTTAAATTCTTAAACAGCTGAAATCCTTGAAACTACTGAATGTATTGAAAGTGTCCTTGAAACTGAAAAATCCCCTCACCGCTGAAACAATTTGGTTCCTGTAACTAAGGAAACCTGGTCTGTGGTCATTATCTGGTGGTGGTCTGAGTCTTCGTTTGGGTCTTGGTCTGGTGGTATAATGCAACCTATTAGGTTGCATTATACATGAAAAAACCCTATTAAGTTGCATTATACTGGTTTACATGAAAAAAACCCTATTAAGTTGCATTATACTGGTTAACATGAAAAAAACCCTATTAAGTTGCATTATACTGGTTTACATGGAAAAATCCCTATTAAGTTGCATAATACTGGTTTACATGGAAAAATCCCCATTAAGTTGCATTATACTGGTTTACATGAAAAAAACCCTATTAAGTTGCATTATACTGGTTTACATGGAAAAATCCCTATTAAGTTGCATTATACTGGTTTACATGGAAAAACCCCTATTAAGTTGCATTATACTGGTTTACATGGAAAATCCCTATTAAGTTGCATTATACTGGTTTACATGGAAAAATCCCTATTAGGTTGCATTATACTGGTTTACATGTACAAATCCCTATTAAGTTGCTTTATACTGGTTTACATGTAAAAACCCCTATTAGGTTACATTATAGTGGTTTACATGTAAAAATCCTTATTAAGTTGCATTATACTGGTTTACATGTAAAAACCCCTATTAAGTTCCATTATACTGGTTTACATGTAAAAACCCCTATTAAGTTCCATTATACTGGTTTACATGTAAAAACCCTATTAAGTTGCATTATACTGGTTTACATGAAAAAAACCCTATTAAGTTGCATTATACTGGTTTACATGGAAAAATCCCTATTAAGTTGCATAATACTGGTTTACATGGAAAAATCCCCATTAAGTTGCATTATACTGGTTTACATGGAAAAATCCCTATTAAGTTGCATTATACTGGTTTACATGGAAAAATCCCTATTAAGTTGCATAATACTGGTTTACATGGAAAAATCCCCATTAAGTTGCATTATACTGGTTTACATGGAAAAATCCCCATTAAGTTGCATTATACTGGTTTACATGGAAAAATCCCTATTAAGTTGCATTGTACTGGTTTACATGGAAAAAACCCTATTAAGTTGCATTATACTGGTTTACATGGAAAAAACCCTATTAAGTTGCATTATACTGGTTTACATGTAAAAACCCCTATTAAGTTGCATTATACTGGTTTACATGGAAAAATCCCCATTAAGTTGCATTATACTGGTTTACATGAAAAAAACCCTATTAAGTTGCATTATACTGGTTTACATGTAAAAACCCCTATTAAGTTGCATTATACTGGTTTACATGGAAAAATCCCCATTAAGTTGCATTATACTGGTTTACATGAAAAAAAACCCTATTAAGTTGCATTATACTGGTTTACATGAAAAAACCCTATTAAGTTGCATTATACTGGTTTACATGGAAAAATCCCTATTAAGTTGCATTATACTGGTTTACATGGAAAAATCCCTATTAGGTTGCATGATTACACTGAAGTCCTTGAAACTGCTGAAGTCCTTGAAACTGCTGAAGTCCTTGAAACTGTTGAAGTCCTTGAAACTCTTGAAATCTTGAAACTGCTGAAATCCTTGAAACTGTTGAATCCTTGAAACTGTTGAATCATTGAAACTGTAGAAATGTCTGAAAGAGCTGAAGTCCTATTAAAATGCATGGGCCTATTAAAATGCATTGCAGAATTCTCAATGCAGATTTTTGTCCGATTGCGGAAAAACCGGAAATCGCTGAAGTCCCAAAAGTAATAGCAATAATCTCCCAAACATGTGGAACGTTTTGATGTATAACTTGTGGAAATTGTTGAAAATGTGAAAGCTGTGAAACGTGTCAAAAAAAATGACGGAATAAAGAAATACAAAACCAATGGTTGACTGCGGAAGGTTCCGCAGTCAATCAATAAGACACCAATATAAAGCACATAATCAGATGACTGACAGGGTACAACATTTAACCTATTTGAATAAACAGGATTGCCGGCGCTTCCAGGCTTTACGTAGCCTGACTCTCGCCAGACCCTGTAGTTCGCTGAGCTTCACACAAGGGTCTGGGTCTGCTTCATAGGGGATACATTTCAGAAGGCAGGGCCTTAAAAAAAAGTCCTTGTATGTGATTGGATAAACCACTTGTCTGTTATCTTGAATGATGTGTTCCTTCAACCACTCACATCGAAGCACACAATTCAGCACACTGTGTTGCATTGTAACACCGGCGATCCTGATTGGCTGATTATTTTTTTATCTCCTGAAGGAGTTTGCTTTGCCCTTGATCCCAGACCCTTGTGTTCAGCAAAACGCCTCTGGTGGAGCATGGCGGAACTACAAGGGTCTGGCGAGAGTCTGGCTCGGCTTTACCAACGTAAGTGGCCAATTTAAACACATTGGAATCAAACACACATTTCAGCTTCTCATCATCACTGCTCCAAAACAATCCAGGCTTTTTAACAAACAGACCACTAAACAAAAGATTACAAAGAACGATACAAAACAAAATATGTTTCATTTTCCACCGCTCCTAAATCACAAAGTTTACAAAGTCTGTCTCCTTCGGGAGTCTGAGTAAACCTTCCCGTTTAGGCAGATGTAAATGAAAAGCCAAATGTGTTTAGAAACCTGTACATGCCTATCCAGTCCAATCTGAGAGCAATGTGGAAATAAGCGTTCAGTCTTTCCCCGATACCCCTGTATACCTTCACATACTTAGAGCTCCATAACATTACAGCGGCAGACATCTCCATAACCCTTGGGCTCATGAAACCTTAATGAAATTCCCTGCATAAACTCAAACAGGGAGCTGGAGAATGAACTCAGCTCACATTAGACTTGTGTGGAAAAAACCTGTTCAGAATATTTTTGCCTGGCAGTGACCGCACAGTCATCTCTGGGACTTTTTGAGCAGAGAGAGCTGAATAAACCAGTGTTTCCAAACCCTTTTGAGCCGTGGCACACAACGGCTCTCGTGTTATTGTATACAAGTTGAATATTTTACGTGTACATAAGACAATCATTTATTGTGTGTATACGTTTAATTTGTTTAATAATAATTATACATTAAAAATACAATTCTAAGTATTGTTTCCGTTTTGTGTCATAGGAAGAAACTGTCATACACTGTAAAATATCAGTAAAGAAAAAAAACAAACTTTTCTGCTTGAAAATGTGTGTTTCACAAAAAGGCTGTTTTCTCCAAATCTTGGTCAGGAAACAGCATTTTGTGTGAAAGTTACCCATGTTGTTCTCTCAATTGATAAAATACTAAAAAGGGTAGAAACTTTTTTTTTTTAAATGAAAGCCAAGAGAGAGCTTTCATTTGGTATGTTTCATACTTGTGTCAACCAAGGGCTCACATTTATATGACGTTTGGAAAATCACTAAAAATATCCAAAATCTCTGGCAGTATGAGGGATGATGCTTTATATACGGCTGGCAGTGAATGAGTTAATGGGTCCTAATCTGTCATCATTAAAGGGCCCTAATCTGTCATAATTAAAGGGCCCTAATCTGTCATCATTAAAGGGCCATAATATGTCATAATTAAAGGGCCCTAATCTGTCATCATTAAAGGGCCCTAATCTGTCATCATTAAAGGGCCATAATCTGTCATAATTAAAGGGCCCTAATCTGTCATCATTAAAGGGCCCTAATCTGTCATCATTAAAGGGCCCTAATCTGTCATTATTAAAGGGCCCTAATCTGTCATCATTAAAGGGCCCTAATCTGTCATCATTAAAGGGCCCTAATCTGTCATTATTAAAGGGCCCTATTCTGTCATCATTAAAGAGCCCTGATCTGTCATAATTAAAGAGCCCTAATCTGTCATCATTAAAGGGCCCTAATCTTTCATCATTAAAGAGCCCTAATCTGTCATCATTAAAGAGCCCTAATCTGTCATCATTAAAGAGCCCTAATCTGTCACAATTAAAGGGCCCTAATCTGTCATCATTAAAGGGCCCTAATCTGTCATCATTAAAGAGCCCTGATCTGTCATAATTAAAGGGCCCTAATCTTTCATCATTAAAGGGCCCTAATCTGTCATCATTAAAGAGCCCTAATCTGTCATCATTAAAGGGCCCTAATCTGTCATCATTAAATGCCCTAATCTGTCATCATTAAAGGGCCCTAATCTGTCATCATTAAATGCCCTAATCTGTCATCATTAAAGGGCCCTAATCTGTCATCATTAAAGGGCCCTAATCTGTCATTATTAAAGGGCCCTAATCTGTCATCATTAAAGGGCCCTAATCTGTCATCATTAAAGGGCCCTAATCTGTCATTATTAAAGGGCCCTATTCTGTCATCATTAAAGAGCCCTAATCTGTCATCATTAAAGGGCCCTAATCTTTCATCATTAAAGAGCCCTAATCTGTCATCATTAAAGAGCCCTAATCTGTCATCATTAAAGAGCCCTAATCTGTCACAATTAAAGGGCCCTAATCTGTCATCATTAAAGGGCCCTACTCTGTCATCATTAAAGAGCCCTGATCTGTCATAATTAAAGGGCCCTAATCTTTCATCATTAAAGGGCCCTAATCTGTCATCATTAAAGAGCCCT